GATGGAACGCGAAGGTTGCGTTAGACGGATTAGCGACGTGCCAGAAACGGACATTTGCGCATACTCGGATGGTTCGTCGGAAGGACATGGACGCTCCACCTGGGGTTTCGTTCTGAAAAAGGATGGGAAACTCACCGGCAAAGAAAGTGGCATCAAACACGGGGGAGAGGTGCTGGATGCAGAGATAGCAGGAGCAAGGAAGGCTCTGGAGGCTGCACTGGAGTTCTTGGAGAACGAAAAGTGCAGGAAAGTAGGGTGATTGCAGCAAATCCACGTGTTTCTAGACAGCCAGCAGGCTGTAAACGCATTAACGACAGGCTCGTCCTCAACTAGCCTAGAAGATGTACGCAAATTTCGTGTGTTATCTAATAAGGCTGAAATATCAGTGAAGTGGGTTCCAGGACATGCAGGAATCCAAGGAAATGAAGAGGCAGACGCCATAGCCCGTGCAGCACTTCGAGAATTGCCTAGCCCGCATACGCAACCAGGATCCAGTGCTCTGGTACATCTTCGAGGCCTCATGAATCGCAAACGGCAGAGATTGCTGGACAGTTGGTGGGAAGAGACCTGTCCGCCTAAATATCGCCAACTCAACCTACAGGTGCGGAGACGCAAACCACCTGAACTGTCTCTCTCTAGGCACCTCCTCCGGGCACTAATCGCAGCACGAACAGGTCGCGGCAATTTTGCGGCATACCATCGCCGTTTTAATAATCCATGTTGGAAATTCTGACTCTCGAATTTAGGACTCAATCATTACCTGTTTCGTCTCAGGTTCCCGACAAGATCGACTCTCTCTACAAATGTCCTGAGTACGCTAATTGCGCCTACTGTCGCCTATACGTTTGGATATTTACGTACAACAGTGTACCTTGGCTCATCATGGTAGATGAGAGGTGGCTAGTCATCACTAGGTTTGACAGGCACACGAGGCTAGCGGGAGTTTCTCCCTTAGATGTATATATAAGTCCAATGTTCCCATAGTTGAAAAATATCAAGTCTTCTTTACTTCATCATATTTATCCATATAATATCGTACAGAGTATATTTTCCAACAATCCACACGCTCCTATGGAGTGCTCGTGTGGGAATCTCCAACCCACTTCATCCACTGTAGCCGTCACACACAACAAACGCGTAGGCTCAGAAAGTCAATGTCCCACGCTGACTTTATCAAAAAGCTTCTCGGGCCCAAATGCCACGATAGCTTCAAAATATTTGCGGAGGAAACCGGCTGTTTTGATAGCCAACCTGCCCACTCATCCTCTGCTCTCAGCGGGGATCAGACAATCCTGTCATTGCCATAACGCATGACACAAAAGGGATCGATGCGAGAAGTGTTGTTTCTCTGAGAAAATTTTTATATACTTGAATTTAGGGTTGAAGGATGGAGTCTTGATTTCGGAGTCGGAGTAGGTGGTGTCTTCTGAGTTATAATTTACCTTCTACTTTTTCTGTAGCGGGTCTCGCGGTTGGAATGAGTTGGGCCTGTAAGCAGTGATCCCCGCCGGCTCCACCAGTCTTGTACCGATAGTGGACCTAGAGCTTTAGCTTAGGACTTTAATATTAAAAACAAAAAACAAATAGAATCGTACAACTCTTCACTGAATCATTACGAACGACCGTGAAACCACCCCGTAGTAATCCCAACAATTTATTTTGATTATTATTTTACGTCGTGCCAGCGCGCAACATATTTCCCAAGGTCACATGCGGGTTAGCTTAGTCTAGAAAAACTACCCGACGTGCCGTCGCTCCTAAGATCCCGGCACAAACTACCTGGGCGCTGGCCCTCCTGCCAGGTGCCCCAAACTAAAAACCAAGTTACTATTATATACGAGAATGTAGATACAAGCCTTATGTGTCACGAGAACACACACGATAGCGATTAACGAGACCTATTGTGAGCATAACTTCCCAAATAATATCCATCGTCCTACTCCTATATAGCCTAGCTAATACATGTTACGGTTTGATTGTTGTCTGAGTTTATGTGGATACCTAAACGTAATGTTGAGGATTCATGTCACAAGACTTCAAGGAAATGATTGAGGAAACTGGAAGACACGGCACTACTAGCCAAGGGTCCAGAGTGCAGGCGACACTATAAACAACGCCATGGTTGGATGGTGCGGTGGTACATCGTCTTGGCCGGCCTGCCATGTAGAGTCTGAATAGCTTGGACACATATCCCACTTGAGACAGTAGATCGCTGGTTCAAATCGGCCAAAACACAACCACATTTCTCGCGGCGCTTGTATACATGGATTACGAAGGCATGCTTGGATAACCAAAGGTTTCGAAATTCCCTTTGGTGGGTACTTACGGAGGAGGGTCGACTGTTTGTTTAAGCGAACATACCTCATAGTGGTATTTGCGAATGTAATCCAGAGCATGAGTGTCTCCAAAGTCAAAAGAGTCATTCAATATGTATACATAGCACCGGTCATATATCATAGCTCTACAGCTGAATACACATTAAATGATTAAAAAAAATCCAAGGGTCCAGATCAGTGTCACAGCGTAGTGATTCTTGATAATGTGTGGCTGGGTGGCAAGTATTCGGCCTAGGGCGAAGAAATCAGTCAAGACAATCACTGAGGGGCTGAATGTTATAAATACCCACTAGTTGTATCAAGATTTCTATCTCTTCTTTACACAGTTTATTAAATCGACATAATCATCACCAACTCGGGTTTCCCGTCACAATATAATAGGTTCTTATAATATTGTCTATAACAGCTAAGGTTCTAATCATTTGCATCACGCCTGCTGTGCTCGCTTGGCGAGTCGCATGATTGAGGTTCCTGATGGATTAGTATGTGTGAAAAGTGAGATAAGCTTAGCTTTAAGATGGCGTAGGTCACGGGTGTCTCGTGGCTCCAATCTACCAATATGTATAGTAGAGCTTAAGACTAGATGTAACTTGGTTTTCTATTAATACAGGGTATCGTCTATAGAACTACAGTATTCCTAATCTTGCGCCCGGACTCCAACATGAACAACATTACATAAGCATTACAATTTATTAGAGCCTCGTACTAATCAAGAGGTCTGTCAATCTTGGATCCTCATGATCACTATGGTTGGAAGGCTCATGTTTCAAACAAAAATGTTGCTCGGGGCCTGAAGGCATCAAGGGGCCCATCTGTTTCCACCATCGGTGTCGCTGTAATACTAGTCCCTGCCATCACCGGTTTGTCTTGAAACTCGCTAAACTACACCCCTATTCTTTTTAGATTCTCCATTTTGGCGCCTGAATAGTTTGCGAGAGTCGCTAGAGTCACAATTGTGGATATTCCACTATCCATTAGTGGATTTGGTGGTACCGTCAAAATATTTGCAGCCGCGAACCCACCTACAGGCTTCCCAACTTGCCATGCCGAAGCGCAACGAAAAAAGTTAGGGGAGTCAGGTAGAATAGAATAGAATAAATTTTTATTTATGTCCCTACTGAGTCTATGACCATGAAGGACAGCTAAAACTATATAAATGGCTTTTAAGTTAATAGTAAATTTGGATATTGTTGTGCTTAATTTTTGCCAATAGATGATAAGGGTCATGCCCTATTTTATTATGGGGAAACAGGTAGGAATTGTCTATTTAGTTAATAACACTTATCAAAACAATGAAGCAACGTTCGCAAAACGTAATGCCGCGTTTCGTGAAAAATCATGTCTAACATAATTATATTGCGTTTGACTAAACTTCTATGTATAAAAGTTGCAACACTCTAGCTCTGCACTACTAGTTCAAGACACTCTCTTGCTGTTTCTCAGAACTATACATTTGTCTAAGTGATTTACATTGCTGGCTTTATTTCTAGGCGGTGGCTCTTGCACTACGTTGACTTGTTCTTGAATTGTAGATTCTGACATTCGGATAATTCCTAATCCGAATGAAAGATACATAACAATTCTACCGCATCACAGCGTGATGTGAATGATGATGAACAATCATTTCTTCCGAACGACATTTCGAATAACTTACAAGAGTACTCTCATAAATTTAACTGAACTAATTGTCTTTTAGTATATAACCTTTGTTATACCAAGATCTCTGTCATTTTTGCTATAGAATCTACCTAATTTATCTGTTTCTCATCATTCATGGTAAAGTAATATCTGAGGTATTTTCTAGATAATCTCGTATCTTTAATGACCTCTAGACTGCAAAGTTTTTATTTAAAACTGCGACCACTAAAGTCGTCAGTTGTATCCATGCGAAATTGCGATGAATCCAGGCCACATTTCGAAGGATTTATGATGGAATTTCGGTTTGAAGTGTATTATAGCCACCATTATGTATGACGCTAAGTTTTCCAAGCTTCGGCGTACATATAAGTAATCTAATACTAGCCATCTGTAGATAGTTGGTCTTTTCTATCCTTACCTGTGAATAAGTATCTGCATTACAGAGTTTATAAAATTGACATATCTGACCAAATATTTTTGCCATTACTGGGAAAATTTATATTCCTGGTGCATTGGCATAGAATCCATGGACCCAATCGAATAAGCACTAGTTCATCTAATATATTTTCGCTCCGCCTAGCACCTCTCACAACGGCTATCTTATCCAGTTATTCGTCAATTCTTTGAGTTGATGTGTGGTGTAGATTCTTTCTGAAAATTTGGTTGTAATGCTGACTTTTGCGCTCTAGGTTTATTCGTTGTAAGATTTCCATATTTTCAGAAGCTGGTGGAAATAATTTAGGTACGGATGTAAGCTGTCACAATTTCTGATCCAAGCCCTCACTGCTGGGTGAAGACATAGGGCTGGATTGAGGCAATGAACTGTGTTCTTGCTTAAGGGAATTTCAATGACAATACTTAACAGGTGGACAAGTTATTGTTTTATTTGAATATGTCATCGCAATGATACTGTATAGTATCAAAGATTTCCCGTAGATACGATGGATCTATCTCCAAAGTTTCATGTATATGGAAAGTCCTTTCTGGCCGAAGAGGTGTGAAAAAGTCTATCAGATCTGAATGTTATTAAATATAGCGCAAGGCGATTGGTCCGCTAGAAACGTAACCTCCTTCTTCAACTTCATCATAGTACTCGGAGCCGCTCGCATCAAAGCTACTCCTACCACTAATATCGTCTTCGAAACCGACATCACCCTGTGGTAATTCTGACCAGCTCAGGTTTGCAAGGGCAGGATACTGTACTAGTAGAGCTGCTGGGAGCATGAAGTTTCCACTAACGTCTCTAGAGGCGGGTGACTGCATTTGTTGTAAATTTTGGATTTGCTGTTCATCCCATGCCCGCAGTCTTTCTTGTGATTCCTCCTCTAAAAGCAGATTGATACAGATTCGACCGGCTTCTGATCGGAAATGTCGTCCCAAGGCATCTGCACGGGCAAAACGACGGCCACATCCCCACTGGCCGCCTTGTTTGAGATCTCCCTTACAAATGAATTTTTTTTCGCCTGAGTGTAAACCTTCGTGACGCTTGCGATCGTGTTGACGAGCAAACGCTTTGCTACAAACTGTGCAGATAAATGGCCGTTCATCAGTGTGAGTTCTGAGGTGAGAGCGAAGATTGTATGCTCGAGTAAATTTTTTTGGGCAGAGACTGCACTGAAATGTAGCTGGATGCTTTTGTGCTCGTTTGTTATTGCCACTCTCTGGTGTAGCAGCCTGCAATTCAAGGTCTGATAATCCAAGAACATAATTCCGATTAGGCATAGAAGGCGTCGATTGGCGGCGAACTCGACTTGGAGAAATTGTCCGTGCACCATGGTTTTGTGAGAGTGCGTAGCGAGAATTGGGAGAATTGGCAATTAAGTAAGAGTCTGTCTGGGGAGGCACGCTATGAGGGATTTGAGCACGGTTAACTATGTTGGAGTTTGTATTTGTTGTATCAGTAAATGCTCTTCGACGTAGACCTACACATGTTAATCGAATTCATAAGACCAGTATTGATAACACTTACCTTTATCAGGTGGTGTTAGGGCATCCTGGTTTAATCGGGTAGGCTTTGATGGCTCAAAACTACTCTGACGAGAAGCAGGGGCAAATTCAACATTTATTTCAGGAGGTATCATTTGTTTAGCTTTTCCCATTTCTTGATTCAATGAAGGGAATGGCTCCTGAGAGAATATATTTTGGGTTTGACCTATTCCACATTTCTCACTACTACCTCCAATACCTACAAATCTTGTTTGCTGGCTCATTTGCCCTTGTTCAAGCTGCGGTGTAATTACGGGACTGCGTGAAGAGCTTTGGGGACTTTGTGCATGCTGGAGGACTTGTGGTTCCGATAATGAGAAGTTACCAATACCTAAAACTTCCTGATATAGGCTTGAATCCTGGGTCGTTAGCATGGGGGACTGATGCTGGTCAAAATTATCGTGATGGGCTGGGTTGGGAGAATGTTGCACGGAGGAAGCCGATATATCAGAATATTCAGAAGGGGCTCGACGATGCCCCCTAAATTGAGGCAATACTACATTCCTCATATGGCTGCCGATCCCATGAAATCCAGCAGATACAGGGCCAAGTGAAGAGTGTCGGGAATGCTTGGGTGATTGCTGAAAGTGGGATTGACCAAGGCTTGGAGACTGATGGGCCGAGGAGGGAGAGTATGGCATTGACAGGAAAGGATTTGGCGGTGTGGTTGAATAATTCCGGGCGGAATTCATCTCAAGCTGTGCAAGGCTAACAGACCGACTCTCTATAGTCTCATCAGAATATAGAGAGGATTCATATGGCTTCGGGTTTCCAGACACAGAAAATAAGGGAAAATCGCTTGGTAAATTTCCTTGAATATTAGGATTTAAGTGGTCATCAGCCAGGTTTTGAAGTGGCTGAGAATATGGCATTTGGTTTTTCGAATTGTAAAAGTATTGAAAACTACCACCTAGTACAAAATTCGGATCAGAGATACTCGATTGCGAAAAGTTCTGAGGATAGTATGGCTGATCAGGACCCATTAATGAATGTCCCGCTATAGTTTCTGTCGAGAATGGCGCATTATTCATGCACATTGATCCATCATTGGTAAGAGCGTTATGGTTGACTTCTGCCTTAATTTTATCATCCGGAGATACTGACGGCTCGGCCAAGTTTATTCGAAGATACTGATTTCTGATAGAGGGAGAACTTTTGTCATGCGCTTCCATGATGTAATTGATATTCTTTGGAGCCTTTATACCTTGCTACGGGTGTAGCAGGTTGGGATAAATAGACAATCAACTGGCGCAATTATTGTGTGGAGACGTGCTAATACGTTTGGTCACCCTACGTTGATCGGATATTTTGTTAGACGCGGTGTATGTCGCAGGAAAATAGTTTTGCTCGATTCTAGCTAGTGAATTCTTGTGTGATAGCTTAACCCCTTAGGAGGGAAGTTTAAAACAGAGACCGGTCAGGTAAATGTTATGACTTCTTTAATCTAAAACGTATCGATTTTTGGAATGATTTCTAGCATTAGCTAAACTGTTAACCCTATATCTTTTGCATAAATGAAAACGATAGAAGTTTAAAGTTAATTTCAAGACAAGCGCAACGTGTACAAACAAGCAACCCAAAGAACGTGTCAAGGCTAAATCTGAAAATAGTCTGAAGTTTCCAAAAATTCCGAATTTATTTGGTGGAGATTGGCCGGCAGAAGAAAAAAGTTGGAATAGATTTACTGGAGAGCAGCAGTCGTCTTGACCTATGTGTACTAGCTAGTTAGTCGCAAACGGATTTCCTCCTAATAAAAATACTGACCTATGCTCTCGGTACTGTCCGGCTGAGACTAAGACACTTGCTGGCGGGATGAGAATCTGTGTCCAAGAAGATTAGCCTGGCTCATGATAGCAGCAATTGGCAAGGCCGAACTGTTATTTGTATAGGTGTTGTACTAGTGAACATATTGAACACCAATGCGCAGGCGCATGAATTGGATAAGTCGCTTAATTACATACTTTGTCGACAGCTGCGTCTGAACTCGTCATCGGACTAGTCAGGCAAAGCGAGAACATAACTCGCCAAGCCCGCCAAGGGTAAGAGGCCATTTCATAGATTCTGGTGATCATTTGTTAGAAAGTAGACAATATCACAGGTGTTGTTCAACTAAATTAACGGCATTAGAAAACTATGAGGGAGGTTTGTTGCAACAGATCTCGACGCAAGACTATTCTGATTGTTTGGAGCCATCTCATCACCACAGACAGCTGAAATACCTCATGTCAAAAGTTCGCAGAAGCGAGCCAAGCGTTCAATTGAAAGCTAAGTAGATGGGCTCGACCCGTGAGTCTACGACGTTGTACGAAATAATAAAATGAATACCAATAAAAAATACAGTTGCAATTATCTAATGGAGTAATTTGCTACGTAGGCTATGAGATGCGGATTTTGCGCACAGTGTATAATAGCAAGTATCTTCTCGGCGGTCTCTTTCTAGTACTATTAGCTCCGCAGTTCTCACAAGTCATTATACAACGGGTGGGGCTAAGTCGCTCCTTTGAACAAGTCGTGAATTATTCGCAGTAGGCCTAGCAAGTAAAACTCAAATAAACATGGGCAAGGTGCTCAATATTTCACACAATTAGGAAACACATGAATAAGGGAAGAAAACTCGAAACCTGCCAACAACACCCCTACAATCTTTCAGATTTCGCCCTAGATTCTCCAGAGGCGAAACCTATTCCAACATTAGCCAGGAGGGCTTCTATTTTCGTAGAGTCTGATATGTTTTTCGCAATCAAAGTCGATACAAGGAGTTAAGGCTGGGCTACTTTGCGGCACAAACTCTCTACGATAAGTGCTCTAGCATTCCAACAAGACCTCCGATTTTTCCAGTGGTGCGAATGACGGAAAAATCTACAAGAAAGCAATGTAGAGGACATACTTCCCCAAACTTTAGTTTCCTTGGCTAGAACACAGAAAGGACCTGCGAGTCTTGTCTAGCCTAAGACTTAGAAGGAAAAATAATATAAAAATCCAATTGGGGCTATTAGAGGTGGTCTTCTACATTACAGATATAATCAAACTCCAGTAAACAAGGATGGATGAATGAAACTAATACAAATTATTATTTAGTTCAGCAAAACCATCAAATCAGGTCTGTAACACTAGACTAAGGGGGACGGAAACTCGACACCTGTCAGCGGTTTTCCCTAAGAGCCCCCAGCTCTCAATGCCGAGTTCCAAGAGTTGAGATTAAGTAACAACTTGGTCCTCATGTCCACGGAGATTTCCAATCGCTTTCGCGGTCTGTATCGTCTTCATCTCTTAGCACATGCCCTTAACACTATTGAGACCTAGAATACACGATATAATTACGGGATAAATAACGTATGGGTCACATATTTACCTGACTGTTAGTGGTTGCCAGTTGGGCAGGAAGTCCGCGTGGCATGTTGTGTTAAGGAAGATACTGGTCACGTGAAAGTGGCCTTCGGATATTAAACAAGAAGCGGAAAGACAGATTACTCGCTCCGATTAGGACATGAGTAGAGGATACTAGTGTTGGCTCTGCAGAGCTAGATCACTCGTGGACTATGAATGATATCTGTAAGATAGGAAATGTGTATTGGGATTTCATCAAGTCGTTAGTAATTAAACAATTGTTATCTCATTTCAACAAATACCATTGCCATAAAGCTTATCACCATCAGATCAGACGGTAAGGTTGAAGCCATTCTCATCACTCACCTCTTGTCATAGAGAAAGAGCCATCTGATGAGGTTTCGTGTTGTACCCAGTACCCGATACGCAGATGGTGGATGGGATCAAGCTGGCCCCTGATGTTACAAAGAAGGGATATACACATGGAAATTCGTACCTCATGTGGTTCCGGTGTCTAGGCCTCAGCTGGCTGGAGCTGCAGGTTTTTGAGACTTTTTCCCGCGCACGCAGTTTCAATTACTCCCTTTCTCTTTTTGAGTGGGAGGTTCCGTGGAAAAGGTAGCTGAGCTCGACGGGTAAGCACAGGAGTGAAGTACTAGATGGCCTAAGACTCAAGTAGCACAATAAACGACAAACACACCCATGCTGAGCTGAATGCCTATCCACAAAGTACATTATATTGGAGATCTTTTTCGACACATTAGACGATAGAAGCACTGTGCAAGGTACAGCCCGGATCAGGCAGTAGACGAATGTTCTTGAAAGTCTTTGACTCAAGTAGTAATATAAAAAGCAGAGTAGCCAGCTAACTCTGAACTCCGCCACTGCCTCACATCCTTGCCCCTGAAATCTTAGAGATACATGGTATTGTTAAGTTTATCTGAGGAAATATGTCTGTCTTCCAAATTGTCATCTCTATATCTAATTTAGGGTCTAATCTCTGAGGAGAGACCTATCTGAGCCGCAGTGGTGCAACATTATTAATTTCTATTATCGCTTCTTGACACAGTCGTTACTTGACACTACTATTATGATTGGTATATGATTTGGGAATGTACACTTGCGCTGGAACAGCTAAGATAGTTTGTGGAGAGATTTCTTCATTAGTGTGTAGAAGTGAAGTGACAATGATAATTATTATGTTACAGGTTGGGGGAAGCCCGTCCCTTATCCCCTAGCTTGTTCGATTGTAGACCGACCACGCTACCAGTATGCAGCGCACCTAAGTGTGCTCCCAGCTGAGCAGCCATGCCATTTATACTACATCAACAACCCATCTCTCATACTGCACACATTACTACTTGTAATATCGTTATGTAGGGACTGGATCTTCTACGTGCGCCATAATTCCATGCTGCCATAATAACCACTTATGTACCAGCTACTAGATCTACCATACTACATAGCTGAGCATAACAACTACGGGTCCTGGAGGACAAGGCTAAACAGCTATCAGCGTATGCCCATTTAAGTAAGGGATAAAACGCTTCCCTTAAGCCGAGATTTAGCCGCGGAAATTTGAGTACATCGTAGTACTGAACAAGATTGTGCTCGGATGGAGTGGCGTAGACAACTTTTTCGTCTGTGAACCGGACCTGCAGAGATTTCACCATTGCACTACCCAACCAAACCAATGATCTACACTCCAAATATGGATCGTAAAACGAATAAAGCTTGTTAGATGATCTGTGCTTTGTTGGTTAGAGAGGGAAGACAACGAGCGTCAAAGGCTCCTTTCCTATGTGATGGGGACAATACTTGTATGAGATATGCTTTTGGATGGGAGCAAAAGTGAGGTACAGGCGAAGACTTACTAACCCACGGCATAGTTATCATGACCTGGAGCAAGGGACCTAATTTTCTTAGTCAATCCTAGACCGAGGAAATAAAATACAATAAATCATTTGAGATAGCTGGGCCGGCAAAGACGACTTCTTCACCTTCCAGTGGTGCCGGTGTAAAGGCTCAGTATGCTCTGCATATCTAGGATAGCCAAGAAGAAAAATGCATCCGAATTGAAGTCGAAAGCAACCTCGAACGTATCTAAAATCGACGATTTCTCGACAAATGATTGCCATATCCTCATACGAGTTCTACCTCAATCTTCCTACACTATATCGCCTCGACCACCGATAAATGCGTCACTCCAATTGCAATCAGGCATCTCCCACTTCAAGATTACGATGCTATATATACCCGCGAGGAGGAATTCAAGTCATAATCTACAAAGCTCGGGTGTTGGTCTATGGGGGACCTTTGCTCTAATGGGGCTTCGCATCTTGAGGGAGGACAAGCAGCTGGGACGTGGGACGAACGTGTGAAGAGGTCACAAATGGGCATGATGGGACGCACATTTTTCGGGTGTCTTCGACTTAAGATTTTGTGTGGGTGCAGAAGCAACGATTTTGGATAGTGCAACCGACACTCTAAAAATAGGCAACGATGAAAGGTGTTTTGGTCCGCCTCCTGGTCGTCATCTCCCCGAAATTAAAGTCTGAGTAGCCTGGACACCTACCTCACTCGAGAAAAGAGGACTGTGAGGCCATATCTCGCGCGGCGGCTATACACAAGATGGCAAAGGCATGTTAGGGTAGCCAAAGATTTTTCATGTTTTCCCTTTGGTGGATATTAAGAGGTGAGGGAAGGGTGAAAGTCCCTAGCACCAAGATCTCGAGTGGTATAAGCGAATGCACCCACTACATGATTAGTCCAGATTTCAAACTAAGTTATCGTCGTATATAGTCGCCGGGGAAGCTGGTCTTCTCCGTGTCGTGCTTTTTGAGTG